GTCGGCCCGGGCAGGGAGCGGCACCCACCGGTCTCCGGGCAGAAGCCATACTTCTTGTCGCGGTCGTAGTCCTCGGTGGTGCCGCACCAGCGGTAGCCGTCCGAGCGGCCCTCGGTGGTGCAGCTGTCGTAGGACGTGCCCTGGAAGCGGAACGGGAACTTGCAGGGCTGTCCGTCGGCATTGCCGCCCATGGTGAACAGGGCTGGGGGCGGAGACAGAGCGAGGGCGCGGTGTGAGGAGGCCGCCTGCCCACCCCAGTCCCCATCCTGGGCCGCGGGCGGGGGGGCCGGCCCCTGGACACGCGGGGGTGTGGGGGGGAGCAGGCCGGCCCCCTGGACACGCGGGCGGAGCTGGCCAGCCACCCTCCACATACAGCCAGAGCTGGTCAGCCCCCCGGACATGAAGGCAGAGCTGGCCAGCCCACCACCCACGGCTCACACCAGAAAGGGCTGTGAAATGCTAGAAACTGTCTCCAGCAGTTGATAAACTGGCTTTTCTGAGCAGCCTGGATGTCCCTGCCTCCCAGGTGAATCCCCCCTCCCTGGGCTTAGGTCCCCTTCCCACTAATGACGTGGCTGACTCCTGGCGCACCGCAGGAGGGCTCCAGAACCCAGCCCAGTGCCTAGGTCACGGTCCAGTGGGCCTGGGGACCTCTGTGGTCAGCAGGATAAAAGGGCACTGCTAGGGATCGGGATAGATAGGGAGACTGAGGCCCCAAGATAGCTGACTCAGAGTCACACAGACGGGAGCATGCAGGCTTGCACACGCACGTACACACACACATGCACAATGCCCACACATGCTTGCGCTCACACACGCACAATCACATACACATGCTCACATAACAGACACACATGCAGGCACACACATGCTCGTGCGCACGCAGGCTCACACACATGCAGGCACACACGCTCATGCAGAGGGAGCATGGCCTCCTTCCACCCCGGGCTCTTGCCTGGACGGCCCCGGCTGTGGTCCCTGCAGGGGGTGGGGGGGGAGGTGGTGTATTTGGGAACCTTTTAAAACACACCCAGGCCCCACTCTGACGCCGGCGGGAGAGCCTGGGAACCGAGTGTGGCTCAGAGGTTGGGCTGGTCTGTCTCGGGTTCTTCTGTGCTCCCCTGTGCCCTCATCCACCCCCAAAACACAAAATGGTGCGTCTCCGGAATTGCCAACTAGCAAAACCGCAAATGCGTAACCAGGACCATGTGTGTACAGCAGCGCCAGAGGTGACCTCACCAGCCCCCGTTAACTCCACCATGACCGAAGGGGAGCCCAGCCCAGGAGCCCCTATGTAGGACCGGGGCCCCGGCTCCTCGCTGCCCCTCGCCCCCCACCTCTCCCCAGACACCTCCTCTGCAAGGCCAGAGGCGAGGGGCTAAGGGACCAGGAGAGGCTGCGGCCAGAGGCCTTTGTGGAAAAGGCAGAGGGTTAACCCCCACGGAGGCCAGCTCTGCCTCTGGCCTCCCCTTAGCTGCAGTTCTACCACCAGGAAGCCCCCATTCCTCTCAGACCCTACCCCCGACAAGGGTGGAGGCTCAGACACTGACTCAGCCGTCAGGAGGGGCCTGACTAACCCAAGTCTGCCCCAAGACCCAAACCAGCATGTGCCGTGTGTTCTCGTATCTGGCTCAACACCAAGCGGCTAACATCCAAGGCAAGGAAATGTCCTCCCCACACTTATGAATTACAGCTGCCCCATCTTTGTTCTCCAAGGATTCTGTTCCGGTCACAAGGGTTGCACATAGGAGGGTTCACGATGCCTGACTCGGGCCTCCCTGGGAGCCCAGGGGACCAGTCTCAGCACCACTGTGGACTGAGTTCGATTCCCGGCCAGGGAAGTGACCCACAGGGTGCAGCAGACCTCTGCCCTCTCCCCGCTGCTCCCTCAGCAATGGATCTCCATAGATCTGCCTGTTCTGCTCCCCACTCTGTGTCTGGTGAGTCCTCTTACTCCCTGTATCTCTGGCTTACACCAGTTCTTTTATGCAAAAATAAGTAAAATCTTAAAAAAAAAGAAAAGAAACCCAAACATTGAAACATTGATTTAAACATTTCTGACTTATTAAGTGCCAGTGGCTTAGTACAAGGTTGAAGTCTGGCACTGAAAGTCTAAATAGGAACTCCATCAACTGGCTGTTTCTTTTCTGCCGGGGAGTGGGCGGGTACTGTGGGTTTAGAGGCACAATTCAGAGAGATTCACAAGCATGTAGCATTGCACCCAACACAGAGGCGCGTGTACAGTCAAGCTGTCTTGAAAGGGTGGGGAAGAAAGAAGTATTTGGGAGAATTATTGGGCCCTGTCCCATTTCCCCGAAACGTTCTGGGCTCTTGGTATCTAGAATCACCAGAGACAAGGACTTGATTATGACATTAGTCATATACGATAGATAACACACGCTGTGTTTCTTACCGAGTTCTGATTATGAAGTGAGACAAGGGTGTCTTAGAGTAGTATGTCCTTATCCACTCACCCCTTTAGAGAACTCTCCCACTACGTGGTTTCAAAATATCTGCAACATTTGTCTCATGCATTGACAAGAACACACACACAAATACTAAAGAAGCCTGACCCCAGCGCAAGACACACAGAGGAAACCCCCAGGCAGAAGAACAAACAGACAGACAGACACGCTAGCAGAATCAGGACCAGGAGCAATGGCTGAAATTCCAGGGTGCGTGTCCCCCCCACCAGGAATCTCACCCCCCCAACCCCACTTTCTGCCGATCCACCCCAAATGTCTCCTCGTGCCCTGGCTGGGGGTGGGGGGGTAGAGAGTTCTCAAGGGAACCACTGGGCACTTGAGTAGTTCTACCTTTGTTCTAATGTATGTTAGAAAAAAAAACACCAGAATACATAGAAGAAAATCACCGGAACTACCCGCGGCCCCACAGATGTGATTGCTGATGGTGACTTAGGGAAACAGAAGGGAGGCGACTGAGAGGGACACCATGGGGCAGACATGGGACATGGCGCCCGAGGGGGGCTCACCTTCGTGGGGGCAGAAGCCGTACTTGCCCTCCTTGTCGAAGTCGTAGGTGGTGGAACACCAGAGGAAGCCGTCGCTGCGGCCCGTGTCAGTGCAGCTGTTATACTCCTTGCCGTTGAACAGGAAGGGGAACTTGCAGTAGTCCCCGTCTGCGTTCCCGTACTTGACTCGGACCACTGGGGACGACGGGCAGGCCCGGGGTGAGCTCTCCAGGCCTCTCCCGGAGCTCAGATTCTGACTCACCCCGGGCGCCACCTCCCACCGCCATCTCCCGGGCCTCCATCAGCGGACGGAGGGGCCAGGTGGGCAGGGAAGCCCTGGTCCTCGTCGCTAGGTGACAGGGAGGCAGGCAGAGGAGGCAAAGGGGCTTGGGGCATGTAGGCAGGCGGTCACGTCTCACCTTGCCCTTCTCCCAGGGTCCACAGCTCGTCGTCATCAAAGTGGGAGTCTCCCCCAACACCGGCGCCCGGGGCAAAGGCGTGTGCCAGGAGCCCGTCCTTGCCGTCAAAAGGGTAGCCGTCCCCGTGCTCTGAAACGCACACAGGTCTCGGCTCCTGGCTGCCCCACTTCGCCCTGAGCCCCTGCCACACCCTGTCCGCCCACCGTCCCCCCGACTTTGTGGGGGTTCTCCAGAACTGGGGACTCCTGCGTCCGCAGAGAGCTGCTGAGTCATTACCATCTGATGGTCCCACCATGACACCTATTGCATGGCCACACTGTCCAGCGGGTGTCCACTCCCCCCTTCTGTCTGCTCCTACTGGGCTTCACCACCCACCCACATGGCGCTTTGATCCGGTCCTGCTCCACCCACCCAACGTCCACACCGCCTGGGACCCTCATACCCAGAGCGGCTCCGTTCAGCAGTGCCACCCAGTGGGCCTTTCTGTACCCACAGAGTGTATGCTGCCCACCTCATAGGTCAGTAGCAGCCACGCCCACCTCATAGGTCAGTAGCCTCCCGTGGCTGCTGAGCCCGCGAGAAGTGGCTGGTAGAGCTGAAAACTGCATTTTACATTTCACCTAATTTTAGCTCATTTGAAGTGTGAGCAGCCCTGAGTATTGGGGGCCGCCCTGCCGGGACGGGGGGTGGTCAGCCACTGGCTCCAGGTTACCCTGTGTCCCAAATGGACCCAACGGTGCCCCGCCAGCCCCTCAGCACCCCTCTCTATGCTGACCCCTGCCGGCCCCTCTTCCGCCTACCCCAGCGGCCAAAGTTGATCATGATGTCAGCATCTCCATCGTGGATGCGAGAAAAACGCAGGGGTGTGACATCACTCCAGACCTGGAAGGCGCGTGCGAAGGCGTCATCCACTGTCTCGGGGTCCAGATCAGGCGTGTAGCCGATGATCCTGGGTGGGGTGGAAGTGCATGGGCTGTGAGTGTGTGCCAAGGAGCGAGGGTGAACTGTGCGTGAGTGTCTGCCTGGGCGTGAGTGTCGGAGCATGCGAGGAGGTGTGCACTCCCGTGCAAAGCAGACCCTGCACACACCTGCACCAGTGTGCAACCGGGCAGGTGGCTGGGTGTGCAGGCTCAGCAGAACTCGGTGACAGAACAGCCACACGGGGATGCCTCGAGGACCCCTGGGGTCCTGCACCCGCCAGCACCTTCAGTCCCTGCAGGGGGCAGGGGGGCAGTCTCAGCACTCCCCCTGGCTCAGGGGCCTAAACAGTGCAAAACGGGCCACAGGCAGAAGCCTCACCTCGGAGCCCCCCCCAGCTGAGCAATCCTCTCACTCTCTGGGGGATGTGAGTTGGCTCAGTCCCCCAGCCGAGTCATGAGGAAGGCTGGACTATGAGCAAGGCTCAGAGCGTGGAAATGGCCCAGAAAGCCCGCAGGACGCCAGCTGTGTCTGACTCTGGTTCCCAGACTCGATGCAGAGCCGACAAGGACCCCAAGACCAGGTGTGTGCCTCCCCCTCGCTGCCCTGGCACCTGTATGTGATCTGGTTCTTGTCCCACTTGGGTTTTCGGGGGAAGAAGTTGTAGTTGGCCACGTCGGGGTTGCCACAGCGCGGCTTCCGCATGGTCTCGATGGTGTTCTGGTCGAGGTCACCCGTCTGGGGTAGACCGAAGAATTTCTGCATCTTCTTCAGGGTGTCTTTCAACACAAACAGGTTGCAACTCTCTTTGGGGCAGCCGTAGAAGGTGTTCAGGTATTGCTGGAAGACAAAGCGACCGCAGGAAGCTGCTACAGCAGGACGGCCAAGCAGCTGCGGGCATCTGACCCCATAGCAGCCCCGTTCCCAGGATGGGCCGTGATCCGGGGCACCGGGTGGAGTCCTGGGCTCCACAATCAGCTTTGCCATCCACTAGTAGATGTGGGATTGACACGCCCCGCACTAAGCCAGCATGTGTTAGCTCATGGAATGGCTACAATGTAGGCATCGTTACTACCCCAATCAGAGAGAAAGAAACCAAAGCACAGAGAGGTCAAGAAACTTGCCTGAGGTCACACAGCTCCCAGTTGGCAGAGCTGGACCTGGATCCAAGATTTGGCTCTGTAGCCCAACCTCAGATGGCCACTCTGGTTCACCCTCTTTGCCCCCAGCGCCCCTTTTATCCCAGCCACCTGCTGGTGACATAGGGGTGATTTCCCTGCCTCTTCAAGCCCAGAGCCTGCGGTCTGACAGCCATGGGTTCAAATCCTGGAGCTGCCATTTCCAAAAAGAAATAATCCAGCAGAGGGTGTAGGGGGGCAATCTGCTCATTTATTTGGTCAACAAACACTTTCTGACCCCCTTCACGGGCCAAGGCTTGTGCTAGTGCCAAGAATAAGCTCGTAAGCACAACAGACTGTTCTAGTTTCTGGGTTCAGCTCCCAGCGGGGGAGAGCTAATGGATCACAGAAACATGCATAATTTAAAATGTGGTAAGTGCTGCCCTGGAATGGTGCCAGGAGAACAGGGCCCCTCACCTGTTTAGGGGATAGTTAAGACAGAGCAGGGGGCCCTCCCTGGTGGCACAGCAGAGGGGTGGAGCTGGGGTGGAGCTGCGGGCCCCTTCAGTACGAGTTTGATCCCCCCCTCCCAGCTGACCCACAGGGCACAGAGGACCTCTCCTGTCTCCCCCCTGCTCCCCTCAGTGTACTTTTTTGATCTGCCTGTTCTGCTCCCCACTGTCTCTGGGGAATCCTCTTGCTGCACCTCTGGCCTGTACCCCATATCTGTATGCATAAATAAATAAAATCTTAAAAAATAAATAAGACAGAGCAGGCATGACAATAATATGAGTGTTCCCCATGTGCATCTAAGGGAATCTCCCCTTTAACTCTGTTTCCCAGCTTGCAGAACCAGCGGTGAGTTCCACCCCTTGCCAGACCCCTGGGCCAGTAGTTAGTGCGTTTGAAGTTGGCCTTGAAGGCATGTCCCCGCTGCATGGCCTCTGACAACATGGGCTTCCTAAGCCGTGGGTGTGGGGACCCAGGGCTTCCTCACTGATTCCAGCTCCATCTCACCCCTACCAAGACCCACATGTTACGTGAACCCAGCTCCAGGCCCCTAGAAATGCTAGCTCTCTCCACCTATGGTGGGTGGAGGGGGAGACAGAAAAGCCTAGAAGTTGGAAGGTGGGATTTGGGGGGAACAGAGGGCATGGGGTCCACTCCTGGGTGTGTTGGAGAGCAAGGTTAATTGGAAGAAGTTTTCTTTGAGGGGTGCTGAAAAGATACGGGGAGCAGACGTCTACTGGGCAGACAAGCACATCTTGAGGGGTTCCCCAAACAGGGGCTTGCAGACTGCAGGGTGCCCTTCAGCAGCTCCCAGCACCCAGCCCCAGCCCCAGCCAAGGTGTCCGTCCAGCCTGGCAGTCCAGCCTGGCGCGAGCTCTCAAAACAACCTCTGGGCCCCTCCGAGCCTGGCCAGGAGGGCGGGAGGGCGGCTCGCTGGCGGCTCTCCCACCGCAGCAGGGCTCCATCCGCCCCCGCCCCACGCGCCAACCGGCCTCCCGCGCCAGGCCTCCCTCCACCGGGTCGGCCAGGCCTCCTGGGTCCTCCTGACCCCTTTGCAGAAGTTCGAGGAAACTTTCCGAGGTCCAGCTCTTGACCCTGCTGGCCAAGCAGTGCACCCAGCCAGATGAAACACCCGGGCTCTCTGCTCTCTTCCAGCCCCAGTTATTTGCCAAACGGTCCCCGTGGAGTAATTTGTCCAAGGCCCTTTTCCAGATGTGTGTCGAAGGTTCCCAGATGTTTGCCAAACCCCCGTTTGCCCCAGCCTCCATCTACATGGGTGCAAAAGTTGGCCCAAATTGTGGGGCCAAGGGACCCTCTTCCCGAAGTCCCAGGGCGGGCTAAAGCTCCTCCACCATTTGCAAAAGAGACCCCTTGTCTTT